GGAAAACCAGTGGCACCATCATGTTTCTCGCGAACTTCTACGTAATAATCAAGAGTCAATGTCGCAAATTCCTCACACTTGTAACATCTCCATTGTAGGTGGATTATTCGGCCGTGCTAAGGAAGAACGTCGTATGAACATTCGAGGGTTCCCGAATTTCCTTTGGTAAAACGTTCATTATTGAGGAAAGTTATGGATATTTTTCGTTGAAATTTTCAGGAACTTCAGGTCAAATTACAAACAACACTACCTGAAAAATTGGTCGAAAAATATTCATAAGTTTACCCGGGAATTTGTGTTTTAACAATCGGAATTAACCAATCGTGTTTAACCAACGCCGGAAGGTTCATACGGCGTTTTCCCATAGCACGGCAGTATTAACGTGCTTTTTCCGACCGAATTTAAAATTTGGGGATTCGATGCTTCTGGCAAAGGATCTCAGCCAGGGTGACATGAAACGTGAAAAAGAAATGCAAGATTATTGATTCCAGTGAAATACTTCATGAAATTTCACGCGGCTGCAAAATATTTCATATTCTTTAGTGGCTAGAGTATCTGCAACCCGCACTACAACACACACAAATTGAAGAAAGTCCCAATTTTTACAGTTCGTAAAACATGGATAGGAACCGGTATTTTTCAGTTTCTTGCATAAATTTCTGTCCAATCCGCTCAAGCATCTCGCAAAAGGAAATCCGCTCAAATTAAGAGCACTGAGAAAAAACTATGGCTTATAAACCTATTAGAGGTAAATATGGAACACCACTAATAGTAGTACCTCTACATATAATAATAGCACATATACCTTAGTTATGGTACGGGGTACCTTAATTAGGTACAGAGACCTTAGTATGGTTCACAGACCGAGAATCATTAGTTTATTTACGACTATTATAGGTGTTCCATATTTACCTCTAATAGGTTTATAAACCATAGTTTTTTCTCAGTGAGGCTTGGTTCTTGATTTAAGCTTAAATCTGATTGAATCAAGAGTATTTTTTCTTGTCGATGTTTTTAAGAGTCTGGACTCAAGATCCAGTGTGTGTTTTTTTTTTTTTTTTTTTTTTTTTTTTTTTTNGTTTTTTTTTTTTTTTTTTTTTTTTTTTTCTTTTTTTTTTCCAGTGAACATCAAAGGGAAATGTGGGACGATTGCTTTCTTTCAGTTCATTTCACTTCAATGCAGAACTAAAACTTCAAACCTCTTTTTCTCAGTCTCAAATTGATCTGGAATGGTTCTTTTCTTACGAAATCGGTCCATATGTAATCGCGAAAAGTGAAAACGATTCACATGGGTGCGAACGCTGAGTCCTAAACCGCATCCGTCCCGTAGAGGCGTAGATCCTTGGTTGCTTCCATTAAACCCGGCTTTATTATGCAGTCCGCCTGGCAAACGCGGCGATGCGATGGGTGAATTACGACCTGACAATTGGTCTTCTATTGCAGTTTATTGCCTGACGGTGCGCCAGGTGCCACTCGACCAGTCGCAATGCTCAGTGGGTTCATTGTCAATGTCAGTGACACATCTCGGCTCTCACGCCTTGCCTTGCAATTCGCAGTTGCGGCGGCGGCCGACGGTTTTCGCTGAAATCAAGACAAGTGTCGGTGATTCCGCGACTCAATTAACATGATTTGTTGTTGTGCACAAACTTACTGGTACCGTATAGTAAACTTCCTGGAGTCGTGCTCGAAAAATTTGGTGTTGCCTTAATATGTTGGAGTGTGCTATCGACAAATTTAGTTTCTCGCAGAGCAACCACGTGTTCTTCCTGAATGCAAATTTTTTGACTCACTGGAAAAAGAGCACATTATATGGATTGCATTTTGCAAAAAGGAACCACTAGCATTGCAATGATGCTAAGGTTGTGCAACTTCATTTTTTGCAATAAAATTGCGGAAATCGTGAAAAACTATGAAATTTAGATGGTAATTTTTGTCTTAAATTTACTGTTTTTAGCGAATAAAATAGAAACTATTAATGGATAATCGGGTTTTTCCTCCAAGACAAAAGAGGTTGCACAATCCTAGTAACATTGCAATGCTAGTGGATCCTTTTTGCAAAATGCAATCCATATCTGGAGTCCAGACTCTTAAAAACGTCGACAAGAAAAAATACTCTTGATTCGATCAGATTTAAGCTTAAATCTGATTGAATCAAGAGTCCTTTTTCTTGTGAATGTTTTCAAGAGTCTGGACTCTAGATCCAACGTGTTTTTTTCCAGTGTTTGTTGCGAGAAGAATGCAATTTTACAGAATCGCTGAAGGACCAAATTCTCTTCAATGCACTGGATCTCAGTTCTACGGTTAATTTTCGCATTCTCATTCATGCGCATTTGAATGAAACTATGCGAATGAGGTTTCGTTCTTACGTGCGCACTCATGACCGCAGTACAAGAAAACACTTTATTTGGTTCCCGGTGTACAATGAAGTATTCCAATGCCAAGTATCGGATGCTCGAATGTACAATGAATCACAGAATTCTTGAGGTACAGCTTTAAGAGCTGCCAACTGGAACGGTTGCCGATCTAGGCACTTAAGGTACTTCGTAAAACTTGAGATCCGCTTTAAGAGCTAATACTGGAAGAGTTGCCGATTTAGATTTGGTTACAAGAGATTTGGCGCCTGAAGGGTTCACTGGTCAAAGTTCTGAGGAAAAAAAAGAAAGAAATAGTGTAATATACAAAGACAAGTCAAGGAGAATTCATCAGAGCTTTTTTTTTTTTTTTTTTTTAGGTTTAATGGCTTACACCTCTTATTAGAGGTCCACTGCCAACTAAAGAGAGAGCTTTATTGTCCGTAGACAACAGGGCGATAGAGACATTCATGCTCCGGCTTTCAAATTTTCAGGGATTGAGGCCGAGTAGAATCTGTTTCTGCAGATCCTCACGTCAGTTCACCAGAGTTTAATTAGTGAAAACACTTTTCCTGCACCATCTTAACATCTTCGGCAGAGAAATGGTATACTCTGGTGGAAGCAGATGTTGTTGGTGCCCTTACGCGTGAGATGATTGAGCATGCAGGAACATGACAGATATCATCTCTTTTTGGCCCATGAAAGGATGGGGAGGGGCCGCACGGATGCATAAATGAAATCTCGAAGTTGTTTTCTTCCTCTGTAAGAGCTAATTTACGAGAGTAGATTATTCACACGCGAATTTCATCGTCGTTGTCACGTATCATTTCCTCCGTCACATTCATTGAAGAAACTTTTAACTCGAAAGCACGAAACAAACCTTTTAGTTCACGAGAATAATCCTGGAAAACCGACGTATATGAGCACATTACATACCAATATAAACAAGTTCGTACTTATCTTCTCCAAAAACATTTTTTTTTGCGTCTAACTTTTTGGGTATAATCTTGTTCCTGTTTCGAAAAGTGGAAAGTGAGAAGAAGTTCTCAATCTGTGCCTTTTGATTTTTCCACACAGGCGAAAAAGCGCCCCCTGTCCCAAGGGGCGGCGCCTAGGGGTGCATCCTTCAGTATGGGTCCTTATTCCGCGAGAACCGAGCGGGGGAGAATGGCTGGTAAATTGTTCTTCAACGCTGGCAATCGAAGTGTCTTGGAATTGTAGAAAATGATATGACTGAAGTTTTCTTCAATCGGCACAAATAGCTGTGTTTTGGAGATTAGCGTAACATAAACGTCAGTCTGAAGTGGTGTGGGCCTCTAATCTACCCGTTTTACCCCATAAAGAAGGAAATTCCAAGGGTAATCAGGCATTCACAATGAGTTATGATATATTGTCTACAGGTAACGGAATAGTTTCTCTGCAGACATCGTGTACGTAGAAAAATATTTCTTGGGAGAAAATGAAAACATTCCCTTGAGAAAATATGTCGGATAAATAATCTTCCTTACAGAAATAGAATTCCTTTCTCTAAAGAAAGTGCCAATAGTAATAATACACTCAATAAGAGATATGTAATTATTTCTCTAGAGAAATTATTACGAGTATGATATATTGTGTACAGGAAACGAAATATATTCTCGTAAGAAATTCTTTGTGGAAAAAGCAATTGCCTTCGATAAATATTATTATATCCAAGGAGAGGAAATAATCATTATCATATATTGTCCATAGGAAACAAATTAATTTCTCAGAAGAAAATGTATTTTCAAGAATATTTATTCTTGAAAATACATTTTCTTTCCGCTGCCGCGGGGAGAGGTAGCGGCCGCGAGTGGAGGAGCGCGGCGTCGGGGGGGGGGGAGCGCGGGTCGCGAGGAGAGGAGCGACCGCGGCGCGGAGTCGGCCGTTCGGCGCACGGTAGATCGAGTCAATAGGAGAGGTCGGACAAAATTCGAAAACTTTAAAAGCTTATAACTCCGTTCATACAAAACTTCGAGGTCCTAAAAGTGGTTTCATTGGTTTCCTCGTGAAATTTTCTTCTAAAAGCACCCCTCGAAATATAACACGTGACGAAATGAACATCAAAATTTGCAGTTTTAGTCAAAAATTTCATGTCCGACCTTTCTGATTGACTCGATCCACTGTGCGGCGGTGCCGTAGTGCAGGCCGAGCCATGTTCACGGCGTGAACATGTACCGCCCCCCCATGAGGCCCGTTAAGGGCTCATCATACAAGGAAATAAATAAAGGAAAATTAAACTTCGCTGTGAAGAATGATATTGGTTATTTACAAAGACAATACTACAATACTCTGCAAGTGCACAGGAGATCGTAAGTACAAAATTACAAATTACAAAATTGAGAGAGATGAAAGAGGCTTTAAAACCGTGGGGGCGTTTGGTCGTGGCCGTGGCGTCTTGGCCAGTGGCGTCATCCTGGGGGGCGCGGTGACCTTGGGTGCCTCGGTGAAGTAGGCTGCCTATGCCGGCGGGACCTCCTTCTCTGGTTGAGTCGCTGAGGGGCGGGTTGACTGGGTTGTGTGCCTGGCTGCCTATGCCGGCGGGATCTCCTTCTCTGGTTGGGTTGTGTGCCTGGCTGCCTATGCCGCCGGGACCTCCTTCTCTGGTTGGGTCGCTGAGGGGCGGGTTGGCTAGGTTGTGTGCCGGAGCGACCGCTGGCGTGGGGTGCAGAGTGGTGGAGAGCCCGTGCAGATGATCGGGCTTCCTTGCGCCTTATAAGTTCTTGAAGCCACGCCGAAAGTGCGGCGAGAAGTCTGAGTGGCTACGTCCCGAACCATTCGAGTGTGCGGGCGGGCAGGTGGCAGAGGCACCGCGGGCACGGCATCGGGAGATGGATGCGGAGCCGGCGTTGGGGCGGTGAGGTCTACCATCTCCATGTCTTCTTCTTGGCGGTGGGCCAAATGCGGCTGAGGGTTTGGCCTGGGTGGGGTGGGTGGCCTAGGCGATTGGAACAGGTTGAACCCCAGCAGCGGATCCTCCTCTTCCATCGTGAACTCCGGCGCAGGGGTTGGCGAATGCTCCGCCAACTCCTCCGCGGTCACTGGCGAGAAGATGGAGGTCTGCTGATGAGGCTCCTCCTGGGTCGCTGAAGCTGCAGGTGACGAGCGGGGCACCGGCCGGATGGCCGCGATTGGAGGAGAGGGAGCGGCAGGGCGGGGGTCGCCGCTGGAATAGCCAGGTTGGGCCTGGCTGGATGGCGGCCGGGAGACGGTAGCGGTCGGCGGCGGGAAGCGGCGCTGCCGGGATGGCGCGGAGTGCGCTGGGCGGTCGGCGCCTCTGGGATGTCTCTGAATTCTTGATGCTGGCCGGCGGCCAGAGGGCGCGGAGGGGTGCCGGGAAGAGCGGGTGTTGGGCGCCCGGGAACGATGCCTCCTCTGAGCGGTGAGGTTCTGTCCGTCGGGCGGCATCAAGAGTCCCGAATTATGAATCTCTTCTCTGAGGGAGCTCCAGTTCTCCCTCATGAACCGGACGAGAGCTGGGTCGGGAGGTGCTGGGTTGGCCGGGAGGCGGGCTACGGGGGCCGGCGGTTTTGAGATGGGTGAAGGGCAGATCTCAATAAACTCTTCTGGTGACAACTCGCTGGAGGACATACTGGATCTGCAAAAAACAAAGAAGCGATTATTCCTCTGGTAGAGGAAAGAGCTTCACCGCGGGGCGTCGAATCTGCCCGGTTGAAGTGCGGACAGAAGCGACGCGCACCTGCCCATCGTCACCGGGATATACTTCGGTGATGCGGCCCATTGGCCATTGCATAGGGTGGCAAAGTGGCTCGTGGACCAGTACCAGCTGGCCGACTTTTAGCGGGGGAGCTGGGTCGCGCCACTTTGACCCAGGGGCCAGGCTGCGCAAATACTCCGCTGCCCACCGCCGCCACGACGCTTGGGCGAGAGCCTGTACGCGATGCCATCGCTTGGTAGGGGTGGCCGTGGGCTCATAGCGGGTTTCAGGGGTACCTGCTAGGGGTCCGCCTGAGAGAAAGTGTGCAGGAGTTAACGGGAGCAGGTCCGTGGGCTCGCCTGACAGGGGTGCGAGCGGACGTGAGTTCAGGATTCCCTCCACTCTGACCGTGAGTGCTCGGAATTCATGCAGAGTGAGTGATTGGCCCTGCATGATCTTTGTGAGATGTGTCTTTGCGGACTTCACTGCGGCTTCTGATAAGCCATTCAGGTGGAGCGAGGCCGCGGAGCTGAAGTGAAAATTCACACCTTCGACCTCTTGGAGGCCTGCGGGCTGAGGCTGTGCCTGAAGGGCCGCGTTAAGGTCAGCAACAGTGCGTTTTAGTGCGTATATTCTCATAGGTAAATTCGAAAAGAAATTATTGATTGGGGAAATATTACTCTCCAAGAGAAACAATAGCACATTGCATACCAATATTAACAAGTTTGTACTTGCGTATCTTTTCCAAAAACATGTTTATTTACGTCTAACTTTTTAGGTATAATCTTGTTCCTGTTTCGAAAAGTGGAAAGTGAGAAATCAAGTTCTCAATCGGTTGATAAGTCTTTGAGTCACAGCACCAGTCCGGTTCATTGTGGGACAGAGCTTTTGTATCAATCCCTTCTTCCATGTAAGGAGTTATTTGTGATAACTACCATTTGCAGAAGTTCCCTGCTGTACCTATCGACACATTCATGGATGTACAACCGGAACAACTGCAAGTTCTCGTTCCCATCAACGTGCCGAAAAACGAAAGTAAGACGATCAGCATATACACACGAATTGTAGGAAATAAAGAGATCCGTTATGTTACCAGAGGACTTTGGCCAACCTTAACGAGCGTTTCCCATTCCTTGGCGAGTGCGGCACAATAACACGGTTTTCCCATAATAATAAAGAGATCAACTGACCTACGTCTTTCAAGAGAGCATTCGTTGTTACCACGCGATGACACTTCTTTGTCATTAGAGCACTCCTCGCCATCAACTTTTAAATTCATCATGTATATATCTGTTCAGCGAGAAGTTTTTGTTCAATCGATTTATTCTGGTCACGAAGACCTCTTTGCACCCAGCACCAGCTGCGTATCATTTGGACCGCGTTTAACAGAGAGGAACCAAGCCACATCAGCTATTGCCAATTTTATCTGGGCAATTTAATTTTTTACGAGAAAACGTTTGTGCGGATCCCTTTGAACATGTTAAGGAATTTGCTTCGTACCATGGAGAAAATTCACTGAAATTTGCACGAAAATCCGCACAACTGTGTTTTCATGTAAATAATTAAATTAGCCAATTAAATTTGGCAATTGCTTATGTTATGTCGGGAAAACTAAGGACGATGGAAAAGAGAAGAGCACGAGTTGCGTGACATAACGACAGGCCTGACACCTAAGTAGCGACAATATCACTACTCGTACATACTACCAACAGCTACATAACAGCTTATGTGGCTTGGTTCCCTTTTGTTTAACGCGGTCCATTTTGAAAGTTGACCATGTCGATGAGTTAATGAAAAAGGCCTCGGAACTTCGATGAAGGCAAGTACCAAAAGCAAGTATGAATTATCGCCCAGAGTTTCAATGCATCTTCGCTTTTTCGTGAGTTTTCAGTACGCTCAGATAGATAAATCGGGCATTCATGTGGGACAGATCCCTTGATTATACATTACCGACTTGGTACACCGCGTTCTTCTGTACCACTGGTAATGCAAATGGACCTAACATGAGTAATCATCCATTTCCTCTGCCACGTTTTTTACGACACAACCATTATCTAACTAAGTGTTGAAATCTTGTCCTTGACAGCAATGACACAGTCTCTTTATCTGTGATTTTCAAATTCTACGGTGAAGAAAACGGCTTTGTGGTGAAAGTCCTTACTACATGGAAAACCAAGGTATGAACTATTCGTACTTACGTCTGGCCTTCACGACAAGAGTGTGTGTCGTAAACATGTCGTGTATGGAAAATCAGGTGTATGAACTTACTGTTCATACGGATGGACAATGGGTCCATATGGTATGGATTCAGCGTCCATACTCTTCGTTTGTAATATGTGTCCATACTAAAATGGGCTACACTGAAAATAAAAGTAGCTTGGATCGAGCATGATAATTCTTGAATTTGCCGCCAAGAATTTTCTTTATCTTGCTTTAAGCTGATTTTTTCTTGATTCAAGAAAAATAATGCTTGGGTTAAGCAAAAAAGTAGCTTATATTAACCAGCAAAATTCTTGATTTAAGAAGAAATACTTCTTGGCGGCAAATTTAAGATTCTTTTTTTTTTCCAGTGTACTTCTCTATTTTCGGGTCGGCATCAACTTTTCTATAGTCTGTATGTGGTTCCGACCCATACTTTATGAAGCGTGAGTGCAGACATTTTTTTCAATGTAGTGTTTAGAAGCTGCGAATAAAACGTAACAAATATCCCCTCTATTTTCCGCTCATGCGGGAGAAATAATCAGAAGTCTTAAGGGTTTTTATTTTCGCTCCATCTTTCTTGCCACATCTCGATGCCGCGGTTTGAGGCAACGGATGAAAAATTAGCACGGACCTTTTTGTGTACGCGATAAATCAATTTCCATGCCCGAGTCAAAGAACCGGGGCGAGACAGCTCAGAGCGTGCACGCGGGGAGAGCTTGCGATCAATTTTCGGTGAGACCTAATATCAGACTCTCTTTCAGCGAAAACTCCAAACAGCGCGTGGAGAGAGTTATTTTGCGAATTCACTTGCACTTGCGAGCAAGGTCAAAAGCTGATGGTGCTGGACGTAGAGGAAGGTGCGGTAAGGGGGTGTAACGCTGCAGTGCACTAACTAAATCCTTCAACATATTTTCTTTTCTTTTTTAGCCCCCTTTACCCCTCCTTCCTCTTTCTCCCACAGTTTCAGCTTATTAACGTATTTAATGGGTCAGTTGCGCTGGTAACAGAATCGCGTTTTGATGCTTGATTCTTGTAAATGAGCTAGAGATCTATCCAAGCAGCAACTTTCTACGTTGAATATTAACCGAGATATCGCCCTTTGAAAAGTCGGGTTTTTGACGTCATCCACCGTGCATAACATGGTATGCACCACCGCGGTAGATGACGTCATGAATCGAGTTTTTTAAGGCGCGATATTTGGGTCAATATTCAACGTAGAAAGTTGCTGTATGGGTAGATCTTATTCTTTTTAGTTGATCTGCAAGAGTGAAGCATCATAATACGATTCTGTGACCAGTGCACCTGACCCATATACCCGGGTCTTATCTCGTGAGTTTTAACGGAATGCGGCACCAGTTCTTAAAAAACCCGCCGACTCATGGCTCAAATGCGCATTTTTCGTCAGTGGCCTTCACTCTTTTGCCGCCATTTGGGGAAGAAACAGGACTTTTGAAAAAAAAAAAAAAAAATTAGCTAGGGTGAATAAAAAGGTCCCTGCAAGGGCTTTTCATTCACAAATGTCGGGCTTATTGCATCACTCATTTATGACTATTCTCAAAAAAAATACTAGATTTTAGCCACCTGATTGATTATTTTATTCATATTGTTTCTTAGGCATAATATTTATTTATTTATTTTCAAAGTCTCGTACAAAGAAACTGCAACTGCAGACAATATATACAGGGTGTTTCAGACCACCCGTACCAGGCCTTTTTCTCGGTTGGTATAGGTCGTACGAAGTCGGAGACCGCGGGGTTGAATAGGGAATTGACCCCAAGGAATCCGAATTTCGTAGTCCCGAAACCCCCCCACCCCCCTTGGGTGGTAAAGGGGGGTCACGATGCTACAAGTCACGGTTCCCGACCGAATTGCGGATGGATCGTATCAGAACTGAAAAGCACGAAAAATTTCACGTGGAACTGACCCCTAAAAATCCAAAATCGGACCATCCAAGGCCCAAAAATGACCCCTTAAAGAGGGGGACAGTACCCCCCTCCATAATTTCTCTTTAGTCTCAAAATTGACGTAAATTCTCCAGAAAAAGACGGTTTCCCAGGTAATCGACCTCGAGAAATCCAAATTTCATGGTCCCGAAGCTCCTCTAGCCCTCCTTGGGGGGTAAACGGGGGGGCCCAATTTTAAAAATCGGGGCTCCTCTCCGAATCGCAAAGTGATTGCATCCAAATTGAGGAGCAGAACACATTTACATCTTAAGTGACTCCTAAGAGTTCTAATTGACCCCCCTGAACGGCAGAAAGTAATCCCCTTAGGAAGGGGGCCTCGCCTCCGCCAAAAATTTCTCAGGATTCCTCTTTGGTCGCAAAATTGACGTTGATTCTCCAGAAAAAGACGGTTTCCCATGTAATCGACCCCGAGGAGCTCCGAAAACATAAAATTTAGAGTCCTCGGGGTCGATTACATTGGAAACCGTCTTTTCCTGGAGAATCGACGTCAATTTTGCGACCAAAGAGGAATCCTGAGAAATTTTTGGCGGGGGCGAGGCCCCCTTCCTAAGGGGATTACTTTCTGCCGTTCAGGGGGGTCAATTAGAACTCTTAGGAGTCACTTAAGATGTAAATGTGTTCTGCTCCTCAATTTGGATGCATTCAATTTGCGATTCGGAGAGGAGCCCCGATTTTTAAAATTGGGCCCCCCCCCCGTTTACCCTCCAAGGGGGGCTAGAGGAGCTTCGGGACCATGAAATTTGGATTTCTCGAGGTCGATTACCTGG